AAAGATTTCCAAGATGTTGCCTGAACAATTGACAACCTGAAATTTCCTTTAACTTTACTGTTGTAATTCAAAAATTCATTTAAAAGTTGTGATCTATGATTCTATATCTGTCATATTGTTGCTGTTGCTAAACATTTCCAATGGTCATCCTCCCTTGAATGAATGACCCATGCACTTAATTATTATTTCATTCAACTGTCAGTAACCTGTCCCTGGTGTCAATAATTTTTAATCTGTGTCCCTATGTAATTCACTGCTTTGATATGCTGTGAACTTGGAAATAAGGTATTTATCTTTATTGGGGTTATAAATAATTTAAACACATAGATACAATATGAAACAAAAGCCTTCAGAAGCTTCTCATGAGTGAGGTTTAGTATATAAAAATGCCTCTTCTCTCATGCTCAGAGGTATTTTATATTTCATTCCTGATTCATGGCCATATTCCAGAAAAGTAGGTAATCAGATTTTGTGGTACTTCTATTTATGGACGGTTTATTATTAATAATTCATTTAAAAACAATAAGCACATTGCATGTTAACATTTTTTATTTTTTAAGTAACTTTATTTTCCCCAAAATTAAGAAGAGTAGCCTTATTTTACTTCTTCCAGCTCTTTAACATCTGACTTACTGAAAGACAGATGACTTCCTCTATATGCTTCTGCATTTATTCTGTTGTGATACAAGTCATGTAAGCTCTGGAAAACTGTTCTGTACACATGTGAGAGATTAAGACGAAAAGGCAAACCATGCCTTAAAATTATGAAGGTTTGACCACAGACCCAAAAGGAACTCAGGGAACCTAGAGATTTCCAGAACATACCTTGAGAACCAGCACCCAAAACAAATAAGCCAGAAGCCGTTCAGCTCCTACAGCTGCCAGTTACTGAGTCCACAAATATTTGTTTTGTGTTTAGCTTAAACCCATTGGAATTGGGTTTCTGCTACTTGTAACTAAAAGAGGTCTGAGCAGCGCACTGTGCAACCCTTAATTCTTCCATGCTCAGCAGGAAGTTCAGGAAAACTTAGTACAGACTCACAGAAGAAACTGTCTTATTTTCTCCTTCTATGCTATCCACCTTCCTTATATCTCTAACTTAAAATTTTTGTTTTATTGATCAAATTTCTATCTTTGGTTATTTATGAATGTCTCATAACTATAAACATCATTCCAGTCATTCACGTTCCAGTTATTCCTAGAATGCACGCGTGCATTCAGTTATCGGTCGTATCTGACTCTTTGTGACTCTTTAGACTACACCCCTCCAGGCTCTTCTGTTTATGGAAATTTCCAGGCAAGAATACTGGAGAGGGTTGCCACTGCCTCCTCCAAGGGCTCTTTTCAACCCAGGATTGAACCCAAGTTGCCCACATTGCAGGCAAATCCTTTACCGCAGAGCTCTTAGGGAAGCCCAAATTAGCAACCATCCTAATGAAATGGCAACTGCATGCGTACAAATGTCACACAGAATTCAGGATCCTTTTAAGCCAACAGACTGTTCTGTTTCCATGAGAAAATTAAAAATACACTATTAAGAAAAAGGGTTTCCCAGGTGGCGCTAGTGGTAGAGAACCTGCCTGCCAGTGCAGGAGATACGAGAGACATGGGTTCGATCGCTGGGTCAGGAAGATCCCCTGGAGGGCATGGCAACCCACTCCCGTATTCTTGTCTAGAGAAGCCCTATGAACAGAGGAGCCTGGTGGGCTACAGTCCACGGGGTCACAAGAGTCAGACAACTGAAGCAATTTAGCACAATTAAGAAAAAAAATTTTTTTTTTAACTTTTTAAAAGAGACAGTGTTTATTTGCCTATTTAAGAACTGTTGTAGAATCTACTATTACGGGACCGGACCTACTCAGCTAGCCTATTTAAGTTTCGATACTTGAACTAACTTGACAATGAGCATATAAATTCAAAACATGAGTTTTTTACTTGTTTATCCTTGTGTTAAAATCATAAATAATCTTATTTGTTTTTAACTTGATTATTAAAAAGTAAAACAGTATTATGTAGTAAAAAAGAATTCACCTGCAAATGTACTCTCTGCTGATACCAGTCACTTATTAAAAACGCATTTCTACTAAAATTGTTCTTAAATTCTTAGATTTAGAGCATGTGATAGCTGGACCCAGCTGAGTTTTTATTTTACCGATGCTTCTTAAAAAAATTCATATTCATCTGTTAGAACCACATGAATACTGGAGAATAGCTAGTTAATATAAGACCTGAAAATGGTTTTTATTCTACATTAACAATTACTTTTCAGAAAGGGCAGCTCCAAAAGGGAAGTCAGCAAGGAAAAAAAAACCTCTCGACGGATAACTCCCATGTCTTTTAAGAATTAACGTTACTCTCAAATTTTTACTTCCTACAAACTACTTGCATCAAATTAACTGTAATAAAAAGATAAAGAAATCTAAGTGAAACCAGGTAAAGATGATGGGATTTGCTGAAGAGTAATGCTAATATCTTGCCCTTCCCCCTGAAACAATGTACTAAGCCAAGGAGAAATGCATTTATTGAAAGAAGGCTGTGTGTGTTAAAGTGAGGTATGACTACCCCTAAAGTTCTGTGTGACGAAGCATACAAATGACACCAGACAAACATTCTGTCTTTTCCTTATGTGTCAATTCTACTTCAAGGTTTTAGGGGAAAAAAAAGTGTAATAAAACAAACACGATCTACTGGAAGCATACACATACATACGTACGTGTGTATCTATGTATATGGCTTTCCAGGTGGCGCTAGAGGTAAAAAAAGTCCACCTGCCAATGCAGCAGACACAAGAGACATGAGTTCGAGCCCTGGGGTGGAAGGATCCCATAGAGTAGGAAAGGGCAACCCTTCCTGTATTACTGCTCGGAAAATTCTATGGACAGAGAAGCCTGCTGGCTACAGTCCACAGGGTCGAACAGAGTATATATGCATATATATGTTAAGTATATATATACTTACATATATACATAGGTCAGTTTATTTCTGTTCCTTGGTTGTTATACAAGAAAAATTTGAAGGGTTTAAAACAACAGACAAGTTACAGCTCAGTTCAGCTCAAGCAGACAGACCTTTTATTAGACAGACACTCTCAACACATGGCAGCAGGCCGACCCCAAAGGAGTCATCCTCCCCATTCCTTTTGACTTCCCCCTTTGTATACTTCCCTCTTCTCCTTTTGGTTGCGCCCTGTGCAAAATAGGGCTTGTACCCACCACCAATCAATGAAAGGGAATGCAAATAGGCATATGCTCAAGGCCAATTGACACATGCAACTTATTTAACAGCTGGCTCTGCTATGTGTCTCTTCCCATAATTCAATGTGACAATCAGATGTATTTCTGTGTAGAATGTTTACAAACCCTTAAAGGGCTCCTAGCTGCCTAAGGGTACTTGAGGAAACCCCTATGATTAGTTTGTATCCACTGTATCCCAGGGTGCATGTGCTAGAGTTGGAGAAGTTCCCCCATGGTTATTTTGTAGCAAATGGGTGAGCTTCTGGGTGTGTCTGGGATGGGGTTTAGAGATCAGCTTGCATCCTTTTTGGCTAGGCCACCCCTCCTCGCTCATGCCACACACACACACACACACACACACACGAATCTGAATGCATGTGTGCTCAATCATGTTCCACTCTTTGCGACCCCATGAACTGTAGTGGGTTGCCATTTCCTACTCCAGGGGATCTTCTCCACTCAAAGATCTAACCTGCGTCTCCTGCAGCTCCTGCATTAGCAGGAGGATTCTTCACCACTGCACCACCTGGGAAGCCCTATATATACACACACATATATATTAACATAATACATACATATGCTTTCAAAGGCAAAGAATATATGTAAACTACACACACAAATGGCAACAATGGTTGCTTATGAAAAGGAATTTCAGGTTTTCTGCTGCTTCACGCAATGTCCCAGAGAGCCTTGTTCACTCTTCTTTGCAGCCATAAAGTCTAAGATGCACTGCCACAAGGGAACTCTTAAATAAATTTAGAATTATTAAGACTATCTATGCAACAACACACGGCACATTAAGAAATAAGAAAATGAAATGATTCATTGCGTGTTAGTGTACTAGACTGTAAGCTTATCAAAGCCCCTACTCCCTCCTCCTCTGGTAGGTTGACAGGACTTAAGACAGGAACTAAGGTACCCTTGAAGGACGAGATCTTTAAGGAAAACTTGCTGACTGGGAGGAGCTCCACCTGGCTTCTTACAACACCCTCTTTTGTGTTTCTAAGATCCAGTACCCAAAACTAAAGATAATCATTTAACTGGCAAACATTTTGCCAGTTAAAACAAAAATAGGCTGAGAACAAAAACACAACGAAACAGGGCTTCCAGTCCTTTGTTAGACTTTTTTTCACTTTTGGAAGAAGGGGGTGTCTAGAAAAAGAAAATGGGTATTAAGCGGGCGGGCTCGCAAGTCCACGCAAGGCACGTTGTTTGCAGCAATTCAGACGAGAAATGAAGTGTCAATTGACTAACCCCGCCTCTCCTTCGCAGCTGCAGTTACCTGCCCGGGGTGGGGGCGGGGGCGGGGGCGGAATGAGAAAGAGGCAAAGTCGAGAATCAAAGGAAGAGGGGAAAGTGGGGTCAGGCGCCGAGAAGCTGGAAATGCAACAGTAACATTGGTGGAATTACGAGGAAGGCGTGGCAGGAGCCCGACAAACCAACCGGGAAGACCCGCGGTTCGACGAGACCCGAGCAAGGTGCTCGCAGGAAAACAAAATGAAAGGGGTGACGGGGTGAAACGCGACTGAGGCTTTGATGACAGCTCGGACTGCGTCTTCAACCCGCAGCGGCCGGGGAGACCGGGGGACCTTCCATTGTGCGGGGCCCCGCCGCTCCCTCCCCTCCGCTCCCCGCCCAGCCGAGCCACAGCCGGAGCCGGAGCCCGAGCCCTCGCAGCTCCGGGCCGCAGCTCCCGAAGCCGCCTGTGTCTCCCCTTTGCCCGAGTTAGGAGACAGTATGCTCAGTCCTCCTCCGACCCTTTCTCACCAGCAGAAGATCGCCGTCTCCCGGCCTTCCCCTTGTCCATCTTCTCCTCCAGCTGGAATCGCAGCCGCTGTCACCTCAAGCCCCCCTCTGGGTGGAGGCGGGAGGGGGAGGGGAGAGAAAAAAAAGCCAGGAACGTGAGAATCGCGCTTGCGCAACAGCTGTCGCCGGCCGCAGGCCGGAAATCGCCGTTCCTCCCACCTCCACCCGGAAATCACTTCCTGGGACTTGTTTGCTCTGTGGGTTAGCCGCGGAAGTGTTTGTCTAAGTGGCGTTTTTTTCATGCTCTCTGTGCCTATAGGATACTGAGACTGGGCGTGTGAGGTTTTAGCCCAAGATAGGAAAGGTTTTGTTGACTTGAAGGTGAGGGTGACTGAAAATTAAAGCAGGGAAGCTTAGGGATCCCCCCCTTCGCTACCCCAGAAACCGTCCTTTGATAGTATTACTTTACTCGTGGCGTCTGCTGTGTGTCTGTCCTCAAGGCGCTTCCTCAAATTTAGAAGCAAAAAGACTTTAGCAAGACAAAAATCGATAGCCTGCTTAGCAGTTGGAGTGGAAATTAATTAAGTCAGCTGAGGAAAAAGAGAGGAATAGGATCTCTTCAAAATTCAAATCCATAATTTTTAAAGGACAGGAAAAAGCTGGACCTCAATTTTTTAAACATAAAATAATGAGATGCTAGCAACTGGGTGGCTGTGTATGAGTTTGTTCAACTAATGTTTATTACAGTACTTAAGGGAATAATGCTGACCTCAGCGAACTCAACTAGTACTTTTGGACTGATTACTTTTTTAGTCCTTTCATAGGACCCATCAGTTTAGAAAATTGTTCTATTTGATTAGCAATAAAGTACATATTTGAATACTTTTTTTAAGTGGGTAAACTTTAATCATAGTAAGTTTAACAAAATAGCACTCTAGTTAGAGGCAAATGATACTGGAACGTTCCAACAGTTTAACATCCGCTCCCCTCTCCCCCATTTTAGCAAGGCTGGTAATGGGACTTAATTTGTTCAATTCTTTGCCAGAGCCTTGCTTCTTTAGCCTCACTTTTAATTACTGTGTCGTCTGTGCTGGAGCTAGAGGTAAGTAGTCTCCAGGTGATAATGCCTATTGGGCTGGGGGGAGTGTCTTGCAAGGTCAGAATGGCTGAAAAGCAGAAATACATCAGGGCTCGCTGAGAATGAAATTCACTACAAGGATTTCATTTAGAGGCTCTAGTTTACTTCTTTTTAGCAAATAAAAACACTGCCTACTGAAAAATATCTGAATTTTATTATATAAATCAACTTTTTTAATTGAATGATTTTACTCTAGAATCACGCTGGCTTGAATCATCAGCTGATATTATACGACACAGAGCTGGAAAAAGATGGAAATAGAGGTAAGAGATGGAAACATAAAAAAGGAAATTGTAAGTAAGCCTAATCCATTTCTGTGCAAACCTTCCTTAAAAGAAATGGTTTTAAAGTTTAGCAGTAAGTCAACCTATTAGAAATGACAGCATAAGAAATAATATTAGTCAACTTGCAAACATATCATTTAAACTTGTCATCCAACCAAATAATAGCATTTCTGTTAATAAAGACAGTGAGTCAGTTTGTTTCTTTGAATGGAGCTGGTTTTGAATAACATATTTGAAGATAAATGACCTTTAAGCTCAAAAACTTCAAATTTGCTCTTTAAACCAGTATTTTTTATTGTTTTTACAGTATCTACTGCATAGTTGTATTGCAAACAACTTAAAGGACTAAAAAGTTCAGTCTTTTGAGGGAGTCATTTAACAATCTCACTTTGCACTTTATGAAAGACTAATTACATGATCTTTTGTTTTATAGTGTTTTATGATGTTCAGGTGAAAGCTTCCTTATTTTAAAATAAGGAAGAAAGACCAAAAAAAGTGAATGATTCCCTTAGTATGTTTGTAGATAAGGTCATTTCTTTTATGTATGTTTAGCTCACAATGTATAGAGCCTTTTAAATTAACATTGTTTGAATTAGAAATTCATCAGCCCAGTATTTTATAAGAGGAGAGGATGGACAGGTTTGATCTTAATGAGTATGGTTCTTTATTGAGTGTTAAAAGTGTATATAAAGTGTTTAAATTAGATATTCTGTTTTTGTTTTGACTATATGATTAAAAGCAGTAGGTATGATTTTTTAAATAGTTTTAGGACATGATGGCAGTGTGAAATTGATCAACCCTTTATTTTAACCCTTAAGTAACAATTTCTTTGAGGAGAGCTTAATCTAAAAATGACCCTTCTCTTCCCAAGTGAATTAACTTTAAGTACAATCTGAATATAAATAGGTTTGGTTGGTGACTAAATGTATCAAGGAACAGCTAGATATGAATTCAGGGGAGAGTTACATGTTGGAGGTATATTAGCCAAGCAATGTAAACTAGAATAAACTGTAAAGAATCGTCTACCTTTTCATTCTAAAGGATACTCTGCACCTTTTCTCTACACTTAAATACTTGTCCTTTATTTATCTGTGTGCCATTTGGTTATCCAATTTGCAAACTCCCATTCTTTTCCCCTGAGAATTGTTTCTCAAACAACTAGGTACAAAAGCACTTAACGAAGGTGAAAAAGAGGAATTGAATGCCATATACTACATGCTATTAGAAAATACTGATTTTGTTTTACTCTGATTGAAAGAAAAGTTAGCGAACAACATTCTTTAGTTCTTTGGTTTAGTTTAGTTGATTTAGGTTTAGTTCATAGAGTTTTACATACAAAGTTATCTTTCTATTTATTTCAGTAGAGAAAAGGGCAGTTTTCAGCATAGTGCCTGAATAAACAGTATTTTTAGATCTAAGAGATTACTGCTTTTCTGTACAAACCTCATCCATGCCAAACTATAAAATGGACGTTCCTTTTTGGCGAGCAATTTAGCAGTATCTGGTAGAATGGAAGATGTCGACATGACTTACAAATTCCACTTATAGGCATATTGCCTAGAGAAACTCTTGATATGTGCACAAAAAATATAGCTATAAGAATGTTCGTTGCAGCTTTGTTTATGTGCTTAGTCACTCAGTCGTATCTGACTTTTTGTGACCCCATGGACTGTAGCCCACCAGTCTCCTCTGTCCATGGGGATTCTCCAGGCAAGAATACTGGAGTGGGGTTGCCATGCCCTCCTCCAGGGGATCTTCCCAACCCAGGGATTGAACCCAGGTCTCACTCATTGCAGGCAGATTCTTTACCAGCTGAGCTACCAGGGAAGCCCACTTTGTTTATAATTGTGCAAAACTGGAGCAGCCTTAATGTTCTTCAACAGAATAATGGTTAAACCATGGCATATTCAAGCAATGGGACACGATAAATTGGTAAAATGATCTCGGACTGTGCTTACTAATGTGGGTAAAAATCACAATGTTGAGTAAATAAGAAAGGCTGGGCAAGAGATACATGTTTTTTTTATTTCACATTTCTCAAAAGGAAGATCATCCTGTCTTATTTTACAGAAACTTCCATGTGTGAGACTCTGCATAAAATGGCTTTTATCTATATTAATTTAATTCTCACAACAGCCTTGTGAAATGTTATCCTATTTTGCATTTATGCATTGAAAAAATATTTGTATATCCCAGAAACTGTTCCAAGTACTGTAGATACAGCAGTTAATTAAACAAAGTTCCTGTTGTCATAGAGCTTTCATTCTAGTGAGGAGAGACAATTTTTAAATATACAATTATATATCAGGTGGTAATGTAGGCTATGAAGAAAAATAAAGCAGAGTGGCAGGATAGAGGGTAATAACGAACGCTGTTTTAGATAGCATAAACTAAAACTCGGAAGTTGAAGAAACTGAAACTCAGAGAGGTTAAGAAACCAGCTGAAAGTCATTCAACTTAAAATTTGGAGCTAGAATTTAAACCTAAATCAATTAATCTAGTTCCAGAGGCTCCTATCTGTCACTTGCACTCTAGAAAAAGATAGTTACATAATAGCACCTGAGATCAGCAACACTGGAAGAAAAAGTTTTTAAAGGAACAGGAAATAACAGTCTATATAGGAAATATATAGACTATATATAGTCTATCTATATATAGACTATATAGATAACAGGATATATATAGTCTATCTATATATAGACTATATAGATAACAGGATATATATAGTCTATATATAGCAGTCTATATAGGATAATTTGGACAATCAAATACCTTCTTAAAGTACTGGTTGGGTGTGGGAGTCAGACTCAGAAAGTGAGAAAAGAGTTAAGAAATCAAAACAAACTAGCACTGTTTTGATTTTACCTTAAGCCTTGATAGCAGCTTGAGTGGCAGTGAAAATCATGTTAAGTGCTATTTATTGCAAGTGGGTTGTGGTTGCTAGTGCGAGTGTTCAGAAATTCAGGAGCAAGAGTATTAATGTATTTGTTAAGAACATGAATTTGAGTCACATAGCCTCAGTACCTAATCATTTATTTAAGAGTTGTTTGATCTTAGCACAAACCACTTAACCTTTTTTTCTCTCCCAAATAGAGTCTATTGAGGTTGTTTTCTTTTTTCCCGGGACTTAACCTTTCAAAGACTTTTCTTTCCCTTGGGCTATGGCTACAATAACTAACTTAACTGCTCAGTCGCTTTTAGTTTCAAACATCAGAATAACCATATCTTCTGTTATTAGATAAGTTGATCACAATCTCCAGTGCCTGGTTCACATTTCACATCCCCTGCCATTTATTTAATAGCAAAAATATTTAAATGCTTACTGTGGAGATAAAGACTAAGCAAATGAGAAAAACAAAATCTATTCACTCTGAGCTCGCTGTAGCAAGGGAGCCAGCCTCCATCACTTGCATTTTGGCCATGACTCAAAGGCCAGCAGAAGAGCAGGAAAGCTATGTAGTGGAGAAAAAGGGAAGGCTGCTGGCATGTCCTGATTGGACCATATTGGCATGGGGAAGCTGTCTGCAGGCTAACTAAAAGGGAGGCATCCTGTGTGACTGGTTAGCGGTGCCTATCTGGCTTTCTCTGGTGGGTCCTAAGTTGGAAGCAGGGATAAAAATTAGGGAAGCTATAAGTTAT